ATTGCACCATCTTTGTATTAAGGTACGAGATTTCCATGGTAAGAGTTCAACATAACAGAAGCATTAACCATTAACGTAAGACTTATGTTGGAAGACTTAACATCTCGATTATGCATGGACCCGGGCCAGGTCGGGCCTAGGCCCGGTCGGGCTTTTGAGGTTTGGGGGCCCGGAACCGGCCCGGGTCCCCACCTTTTTTTTTGCTTTTTCTACTTAACCCCCAACCCCCCTCACCCCCCCCACCCCCCAAAACATCCCAAAACAACCAGTCGGCCAGCCCCAACCCAGAATAAAAGAAAAAAATTGAAAAAAAAAAAAAAAGCAAAAAAAAAAGCCCGGAACCGGGCCCGGACCGGCCGGGCCGGTTCGTCTTTTGGGTGACCCGAGCCCACACCGTAAACCCCCTGGGCCGAGCCTACCCGGACCGGTCCTTGGCCGGGCCACCGGTTTGGGCCGGGCCCAAAAAGTGCCGGGCCGGGCCACCCGGCCCGAGTCCATGCCTAATCTCGATAGTGATTCGTTGGAGCAAACTAATATTAAAATATGTGTATTCAGTCTTGAGTCTTGACCAGATTTAAACAAACCAAACCAGGGCAAATCAGGCCAGACCAGAAAATCTTAGTCTAACTAAAAACATCCTAAAAAGGTCACTCTCATAGCGGGACTAACTCAAAACCATACACGTTTTGTATTTTTATATGTGACTTGTGTAGGACTATTTAACATCTTCATCATTATGGTAGTTTCTTCGTCTCTTATATATGAAACATAGTTCCATTGTAAGCATTTTGGATATTCAAGGAGGGAAATACATGGCTCTAATATAGTAACTAGGACACAAATTGCTTGCTACCATCACATACATCAAAAGTAGCCTATGTGTGACGAAATAGTGTTATAAAATTTGATGTATAAGACATAAAAGTTTGTAAGACGGATCGATAAAAAAAATCAAAGAACAAGAAATGCATTAAACAATGTAGTCATGAAGATGGAGCATGGTATACGGACTCTACTTTTGATTCCAACAAAGAAACATACTTATCAAGCATGGATATGACAACTTCAAGTTCAGTTACTTGCCGCTCTATTGCATCAATCTGGTGCACATACTCGTCAAAGTTGCTGCTTTTGGACTTGAGTTGCTCAACAAAGACTCTCAAACCGGAAGCCAGATCACCAAAGCCTTTATATTCTTCACCAACTCTTGAATTCATTTTCTCCAAAAGTTCAAGTAGATTGTTAGTTTCCTGTGATTAGATCAACAGCATATTTGTTAGCTTTCATGAAGGCCAGAGAAGCAGCCACGACAAGGTATGCCTCTTTTAAGGAAACTGAAATTTTAAGGCAACCTTTTTTCAAAGGCTAAGTGTCCGTACTCCGTTTAGTGGGAGTGATTTCTGTTTTAAATGATTGATGTCGCTCTGTTATCGAAAAAATCATTTATAGCAAATTTTCTTAATAAATAAAGTCATACTGATTACCGAAGCATATGAATTTTCAAGATATAATTGTTAATTTCATTGATATAGATTATAAACCACACCAATACAAAAAGTACCAACTTCACTATTTAATTCATTATCAATTAATTCAGTCCGTGCAGTAAACCAAACTAGAGTTTGACAAAACTAAAAATTCATGGGCTATAAATATATAATGTCTCCAAGCAAACACTATGTTAAGTCACCCCTCATTACAAAATATCATTTAGGTCTTACTCCACCCCCTCATTGACATTTTAGTATAAAATTACAAGTTTTAAAATGTTATCCCAACTCCCAATTCACAAGTTAAGTTCAAAGAAACTCAAAGAGAGTACATACTACATAGGTTGCCCCAAGTAGTCATCCATATACTCAGTATGCCTAAATTTCTAATTTGAACTATGTCAGAACCAAACTATCTAAAAAATTCAAGCTTGAAATAATATTGGGTAAACTCTCATGTAAAAGATATTAGTCTAAGAATCGAGCGCTTGACATACATAAAGCTCGCCTTTAACCATCTTCGAAACATTGGTGAATAGATCATTAAGTGATTCAGCCAAGTTGTCCCGATCATTCTCTGAAGTCATTTTATTTCCCAAATTCAATGCTTTAACTTCACTTTTCGTTCCTGAAAATTGAGGTTAGGAACAAGAGGGTTATGAAGTTCAAGAGTAAAAATCATAAAATCGGAAAAAGAAAAAACGAAACCTTAGCACGAGTGATATCTAGTTTAGACACGACATTCAAAAGCACCTGGCTTTTTCAGGCTGGGGCGGCGATGCACGGTAGATTGAGTAAGGGTGTCAGGGTTTTGACGGAGGAATCCGGCGGTCGCAGAGGTAAATCCAGTGATTAGTCCTTTTCTCCTGCGAAGGTGGAGAGAAACGACGCCGGCAACAAGAGGGAAGCACCGGACTCGACCAGAAATGCCAGGTTACATTATTCGGATCTGTTTCGGATTTTGCGAGGGGAGTTTGTTTTTTGATCGTGAGTCATTTTTTGTTTTATTAAGGAAAAATTGATAAGTAGTAATAATGCCAATTATTGACTGTCTGGACATAATAATCTCATTTATCGATTATTCCAGAACAATTCCAATTTTAGATACTTTTCGTCAATAATCATCCGACGTGACCGAGTATAAATAAATTCTTATGGTTTCTAAAGTGGATAGGAAGAGTCGAAGAGATATAACAAGTAATCTCTATAAATAATCTCAACTTTTAATTTTTACGCTTAATTTGTATTAAAAATCACATGTTATAGCAGGTAATATCCGGTCATGGACCATTATTGGCGGACGGTCCATATAGTTGAGATTATACAAAAATAATCAATAGTTGAGATTATTGTTAGCGAACCAGCAATAGTTAGGATTATAATTTTCAATTTTTCCTTTTATTAATTGTTGTTTATTAATTAATTACAGAGTAATCAACGACCCGATGGTCCCTCTCCAGTCAATGATTGGGCGGTCACTATCCAATCCAGTCAACGACTTGATTCGGACCAGTCTGCGAATGACCCGACAATCCTCGTCTAGTCTAATCGCCGACCCAACGGTTCAGTCCTTGTATATAAAGCATTTTTTAAAAGGGGTGAGGACACCCATATTACTAAAAATTAACTCATGGACAAAAAATGGCTTTCTTTAAATTTTTCCAGAAATGTGACTAAAAATAGTTGAATAGACTATTTTACCCTTACTAAGCCCAGCGGGCCATTCGAAGCTGGCGGGCGGCGCAGACGAGCGGTGGCAGAGCAATGGAGACGGCAAATAAGGCTTGAGAGGTGGCGAGTCGAAGCTAGTGGCGGCGGCACACGAGTTGATGTTGGGCGGTGGCGGCGGTCGATTCTAGTCGGCGATCGATGTTGGGCAGCTGCGAAGAATTGATGTTGAGCGAATGGACGAGAGAGATGCTCTAGGGATTCAGATTTCAGAGAATGGCCAGATATGAAAATAGTTGATGTGCTAGGGTTGTTTGAGTGTAGTTATCACAGGGGCAAATTAGGACATTCAATTAAAACCTATCACTTTTTCGTCCAGATTTGAAGTAGTCGCACTTTTGTCTTTTCAAATCTCATTAGTCTTGTTTATGCCATTATTTCTTTTTAAAATGCATGAGTCAAATGAGTTGTTGAGTGACCGAGACCAACCGGTTTCAGTCTCGACCTTATTTGGGGCTTTACTATGTTCGATTCCGGATCGGGACCGTACTCTCGATCTTCCAAAGAGGCCCAGAAACAGAGTGAAAACATTTGATGAACATGTTTTCATATTTGTAAATGAAAAATTAAAAACAAAAAACAGAAAATTTGAAATAGAAAAAATGATAAATTAAAACAGAAAAGAAAAGTAGAAAATGTCTCTATTAGTAAACAGACCCTAGGTGTTTCGTAAAAAAAGTGTGTGATGTGATAAAAATAAGAGTTATCAAAAAACTGATTATAAATGAGAAAAATTAATCAATTTATACGGGAACTTTAGGAAAATACTTCGCCGTCCTTTAAAACATTTCAAACATTTCTTTTTTGATAAGGGAACTTGTTCCAAAGACTTTGTCATTTCCCTTTTGATCGATCAATTTATAGTTGTTATCATTTTTCTAAACATGAATTTTAATCAAATAATTTTTACTTTTATACTCCCTCTGTCCCCAAATTAACTTCTTATTCACTATTCACATGGTCAACTTATATTACACTTAATATTTTGCTTTATATATAAATTTTTTATCAAACTTACATTTTTTTATCAGACTTTGTAGCAGTTTTAATGTAATTTCTGAATATGTAAATTTTATTCATTAAAAATAATCTGAGTGTGTAATCCGAAATGAGAAATTAAATTTGAGACGGAGGTAGTATTTTCAAACCGGTCAAACTTGATAAAATTTTGAAGGACACAAGAGGTATTAATTAATGAGAAAAGGGTCAGATTGGTCCTCGAAGTTGCATAAAAGGGGTCAAATAAGTCCTTATATGAGAGGTTCTGTCGGGCGTCGCCATTTGAGGCGGTTCCCGGTGGAATTTTTTGATGAAATTTTTAGCATCTTATTCATTAAGTCTAGTTACTCATACCAAATTTAAGCTAATACTTCAATCGGGAAGACATTCAAATGATTCTTGAAGATAAAATTTGGTATGAGTAAACTAGACTCAATGAATAAGATGTTCAAAAAAATTCATCAAAAAAATCCAGCGGGAACCGCCTCAAATGGCGACGGCCGGACAAAAACTCTCATATAAGCTTATTTGACCCTTTTTATGTAACTTCTAGGACCAATGTGACCCTTTTCTCATTAATTAATCCCTAGTTAACAAATGTCATGCTCGCTCTGGTTAATCAGGACCAAACCGATTTTCCATTTCTTTCTAGATCGGAGTAATCGGACTATGGAAGTTCACTTTTGAGTTTCGTTTTCTCGTGCACTCCGACTGAACAACCGTCGCCACGGTAACTTTGTATGGCAGTCACATGAGCGGCACGTGGCACACACTGTTATCCCGAATGATCAGGGTTGTATTTTAGGATCTAAACCCTTTTCTTTTGTCATTTCTCGTTTTCTTAAAAGCATCCATTAGAGGAAAGAAAGGTATTCATCTCCAGTTCTTCACATTCAGCTCTTCGAGCTTCCCAGGTATGCTGTATTAATTGAATACGCGTTAAATTGCGTTCACTATTTCTCCAGATTTTAATGGTTCAAGCATTTCTCTTGGGAATGTTTCTTTCTGTTTTTATTTCAAGATTTAATTTCTTGATTATAGAAAAAGTATCCTAGAAGTTTGAATCTTTTCCTCAGTCTCTGTAACTTTATCTTCCTAATTTTAGATAGGGTTGGAAGTTCCATTGTGCGAAGTATCTATAATGAAGTTCAGTTGTATTTTCCTCGTTCTTTTTCTACTGCGTTGGAGGTAGGGGGAGGGGGTCAGAGTGTCAGACATGAAGTAGACCAAGAAGAAATGTTTAATTATATGTTGGTGATTAGTAAAATCTTTTTGCAATCTGGTATTTTCTTCATTTTTAATTCTTTTAATGAGCATAGCCGTGTTTAGGGAGTATGTAATTCAGGGATTTGCACAGGATCTAAAACCATTAGAATTTGTTAGAACTGAGAAATAAAGTTATTTAAAACGAGCTTTCTGGGTTTTTTCTTTGAAGTTCGTTTTTCAAACTAATGATCTTTATTTGGATATGAATAATTGAAGAATACTAGGGATTGAAGTTTGTAACCATTTTGCTTTTGGGTAGTGGGGACTCATGTTTAATTTGTTTTGCTTTAAGTACTCAAGCAACTTTATAAAAACAAACAAATTAGCTACATTAATAGAATACATATGATATGTGTATACAGATGAAAAATATATAACTGTTTTATATTTATATTTTTAAATTTTGCTAGTTGATATGATTCATAGGAATAATAATCTGGCTAGTTTTCAAACGTTTTCTTAGCTAATTTAATTAAAATTATGCTTGCAGCTATTATTTCTGAGAATAGCCTCCCATTATCGTAGTTAAATTTCAAAACAAGTAGAACTATTTACCACGCTTGTTACACAAAACGTGTTACATGCCAATTTAATTAAAAATAATACTACAATATGCACTGCTCTTACTAGAATTGCCACCTTTAGTATTTAACTATTGTAGAATATTATTTGAAGTACATATTTATTAAAATTTAAACCCATCTTGTAGTTTAAAAATAATAATATGGTGGCATAGATATTACCTAAAAACGCCACCTGTCCATCTCTCTTTGTTAAAGAAAATTCAAACTACACATGTTTTTAACAATAACCATTTCTTATGAGTTGCCTCCAATTGTTTTTTTTTCCGACTGGTGCCATTTAAGATTAAAGCGTGTTCATTATAGGTTTTTCGTTTCTATTTTCTTTTTTAAGTAAATATTAGATCATGAAATTAAGCATAAACTATTTTCAGTGTTTTGCTATTAGTTTGAAAAGTAACATGTTTATTAGTTATTACACATACGTATTCCACTGGTATAAAGATATGGACACTCTCCACTTGACCGGTGAAAAAGTTGATTGAAAAATGGAGTAGGTGTATAAGCTATATTTCCTATCAATCAAATGAAGAGTGTTTGGTCACTCTCTTCTCAAGAGGGTGGCCATAGCATTCGTCTAATGTAAATAATTCATATATATTGATAATATTTGAAAAGTGGGATGGAGTCCATTAATCCAAAAAAGCATAGAGTCCCCAAATCCAAAATTGTTACACAGGTTAATCCCCACATTTGTACTCATGTAAGGATTAGTTACATTCCATGTTACTTTTATTCTTTTAACAAAAATGGTCTAGGCAACTTATATGGTGGTAAAGGAGCATATATATACATTATTGGATGCATCTGTTCACAAGTATCGTGCCGGTTTAGTAGAATAGCGTACATATGCCATGTGAAATGTCCAGGTTCGACCACCGAATATAATATACTTTGAAAACTCATTTACAGCATTTTGCAAATTGGTTGTATAACAAACATACATGCTAACAAAGTTCTGAATAAATTATACTTGGTGGAGTAAATTGGTCATTGTATTGGATGTGTAGAGAAAATAATGGGGTGTGAATGGGTCTGATTAATGGTGCAAGTTATTTATTTATGGTGTTGATGAAGGATATGTTCAGTGTAAATGATGACGGACATGTGCAAATATAATTGTTGCACTATCTTGTGCAAAAAAAAAATGGTTTGTTGCCTCAATGATGGGTCATTACATCATTGAACCGAATCTTATATGTGGTGTATATTATTGATTTATGGTGTAAATGAAGTGGGTACATGGTAAGGAGGCTGCTCCCGTACCATAGTATAAGAACTCATTGGTCTCCATTTATTGTTAATTCTTTGTGATTATGTTGTAGCATTTTTAGCTTTTGTTACTAAGCTGATAACCGTTTATATACATATAGTTGTGTGGTGAGGCTTGCTCCTGCGTGAACTTCTGTTACCCTGAAGGATCATGGATGCCGGCTCTGGGAACGGCTCTAGTGAGTTGGAGGCGGAATCAAATAATGCTGACTCTGTTGAAGTGATCCTATCTAGTGGAGAAACATTGCAAGAACTAGATAATGTTGGGAAGCTTATTTCCAAGATCGAACTAGACTTAGCATGCTCCTCAGAGAAACTTGTTAATTTGAGTGTACTTAAAATGCATTTGGAAACAAGAGAAAATGGTTTTGAGGCTTTTGCTGCTGAGGAGCAATCTATAAATGGTTGCCTTGATAAGGCATCTGAGTTTGACCTTTTATCCACATTCTTGGACTCTGAGGTAAGGGAACTAGGTGGTTTGTTGTCCACCCTTCAAATGGAGATTGACTATTCCCACCAGCTCATACCTTCACTTGAGGATGCGGGAGAATGTTGCAGGATGTTGAAAGAAAAGTTGTATGATTCTGAAAGTTTACTAAAAGACTTAGAAGCTCAGCTGTTGGAATTGGAGTCACAGTCATCCAATTTTCTTAGGATTCTCTCAACTTCTACTGTGGATGGAAATCGTAAGTGTGTTCTGATTTTGTATTTAATGGCTTAGTTTATTTGAGAGCAAGGCATCTGATATCAAATAATACACACACAGACACGGATGGGTATTAATTTAAAAGCAATCGTTGATATGCTCACAGATTTTAGTGTAGCTGTTAATAACGAGAAAAGATATCCCTTAAAAATTTTGGTAGTTAGCTGATATTCCAAACAAGGTTGAGTTAGGAGCTTAGTCACACAGAAGTAGAGATTCGGGTTTATGGTTGTGATTCATTCTAAAAAATAATTCAGTGAAATCTCTCTCTAGTACCATCTTCAGCAAAGCAACACTTGTGACAAAATTATTTGAACTTAATGTCAGGGCAAGATGATGAGAGGGCTTTTGAAAGTATTGAACTGGCTGCTCCGTTAACTCCAAATACAAAGATAAAAATGGAGACTGCGGAGCATCAAAGGCATGTTTTGCAAATGCTGGAAAAGTCCTTGGCGAATGAGCTGGATCTAGAGAAGAAGCTTTCTGAATCAAAACAAAGTGAAGAAGACTTGAAACATGGGTTGCAGCAACAGCTATTATGCTTAGAAGTAGAGCTTGAAGATGCTTATGAAAGGCTGTTTGAGGCAGAAAATGCTTCTCAAGTTCTATTGGGGGTTTCAAAAGAGCATAGAAGAAGACTGCAGATAACACAATTTCAAATAGACAGTGCATTACAGAGAGAGGGAGACTTGAAGTCTAAATTGACAATTTTGAGTGAACAATTGTCTGCTAAAGACAACTCATTGCAGAAGTCAGAGAATACTTGTGAAGAGCTTAGGAAAAAGGTTACCTCAGCTGATAACAAATTGAATGATACTGATTTTTGCAAACAGACTGCTACATCCTCTACTGAGAGAGGCTTTGACATGAAGGTTCATGAAATGGAAGCTAAATTAAAAGATCTTATGGAAAATAATGCCAGAGCTGAAAGAAGAGCTGAGGTTGCAGAGGCTGAGTGTAAATCATTAAAAGATGCTAATATGAAACTTTACCAAGATCTTATTACCCTTGGGAGTAGTAGCAGTTTAACCTGTGAGAGAGTTTGTCTGCTTGAGAAGCAATTGAAGGAATCAGAGCTAAATATTCAACTTGCAGTAGCATCTGCTGAAGCCAGTCAGGAGAAACAAACCATGCTAAATATTACCATCCAGGATATGGAAAATGTAATTGAGGTTCTTAAGTCGAAAGTTCTTGAGGCTGAAAGTCAAATTGAGAGTGCTGAAGAAAAGTGCATCATCCTATCAGAAGCTAATGCAGATCTCAATGACGAACTGAATCTTCTGAAGGGTAGAATGAAATGCTTGGCATCATCGTTGCATCAAGCTGAGGAAACAAAGAAGGCAACTGCCAGAGATATTAGCCTTCATGCTAAACTGATAACAGACTTGATTATGCAATTGACACTTGAAAGAGAAAAGCTTCATAAGCAGGTTTCTAATCTAATCAAACCTTTTCATATTTGATAGAGCTAAACGTGCTTCGTATACCGCTCATTCTAGATTGGATTCATGATATGTCAGAAAAACAAAAACATACAACAGGATAGAACTTTTTTCAAACTAGTGCAAGCACAATTTGCTATCTATCAATATTTTTATGGTCATAGTCAGTGTGTGTACATTCCTTTTTGCTGAGAATTTCATGCGAAAGTTTGCTGAATTTTTCGTTACATTTGTTTATATATTAGCTTAGTTGAAGTTTGTCTGCTTATGAATTTTCTTTATAGTTGTATACTTCGCAAGAAACTCTATATCCTAGAACCCATGAATTTTTTGAGCAAATCAAGGTTTTATATAGCGTAGCCTTCTTTTGCTAGAAGTGTGGAAAAGGTGAAGCTGCTGGCTAGGCATTCAGTATTTTCTTTCTCATAAATGCCCATAAATGACGCAGAATAATACGTTTTGGAAATATGTGCATTTAGTTAGGACATTCTCCTAAGGCACTACTTATTATATTACTGCGGTGGATATCCTGATGAGAAGTTAGTTATTCACACACACATGTATATGCATACATACGTACATACATACATATATAAACACACACACATATTCCCAATTTAATCATCTTAAACTTCTGATATGTTCAGATATCTTCATTGGCAAAAGAGAAAAAAGCATCAGTTATGCAGTCTGAGGGAAAAGAAACGGTCCCTGATGCGCTTTTTGTTGGAGACGACGAAGAATATACGGGAAAGTTCATTCCCTCCAAGCGTGATGTTTTGTTTGCAAAATCACCAAAAGAGAGTGGAGAAGCGGCTGAGCTGTCTTTTAATAATTTGGTAATGTCTGCATAGTCTCATTTGTCGTTTCACTGTAAAATCTCTTGTTCCTCTGTAGTTTTTAGGGTATGAATATTCCTGTCCTCCATTTAATGTGCTGATATTGGATGCACTCTGACAAATTGATATTTTTGGATAAAATGCTTATGAGTTACCTAAATACTGATAATCTGATGGTCAGTACAATTTTGTAGCTGCAAAAATACCCGCCTAATTCCACATATATTTGACATAATCCCGGTTAAACCCGTGACTAGAGCTACACCTCAGTCTGCTAACTGCCTAATTTTAGATGTTTCTGTGTTTAATGCTGAACAGCAGGACAAACAAAATGAAGCAATGTTGAATGATGAAGAAGACACTCTTTCAGTATCCAAGCTTGGTCCCACAAGGGACATAGATGCAAGGCAGCTTAAGTTGAGCTACTTCTTCATAGCTGCTCTTTTGATTATGGTTCCAGCTCTTCTGGCTGCTCTGTATCAGCACAAGAGCAGCAAATCGTGATGATGATTGTGCCGACTGAGTCGATACTGGCTTCAAGGAACCCAAAGCCATCTTTGGGGGTTAAATGTTGAACAACACCTTGAGACACAAAAAGAAACAAAGAAGTTTCAACATGATCAGGAGACATAGCTACTCGAAGAACATCATAGAATTTTGTTTGTACCTTCATATAACTGTGCTACTTAGCAGTTAGTTAAAAAAGCATAATGGATATAGTATAAGGACACCTGATTGGCCGATTAAGTGACTTGACTTCCTTAAAAGAAAAACAATTGTCTTTGCTATTGTGTCTCTACTCTTAAATTAAAAGTGGAGATACATAGCAGTTTTACAGTTATACATGAAACTGTTTCAGTAACAATATTAAAGCAAAACAATAATAGGAAATTAGAAGTAAAAATGTAATATAATTCTAAAATAGGAATATAATTATCGCCATGTTTAGAAAACACTGGCATGTTTAATGTATGATAAGGTCTAAAAAATGACAGTAATTAAACACAATACTTTTAGTTTGGAATGAAAAAAGTTTGTACTCCTATATAGATTTTTTTGGGGGGAATAAATAGTTTGTAATAATTTAAGTAATATTCTATTAACTTTGCTCCGTTAATTGTGGATCGTGAGGATTGAGGTTAGGTACTTGCGGTCTAAGGGCCCAACATGTTCACTTGGGTTTCGTTGGATGCTTATTGAGTTATATGTCTTTTTGTGTGTGGACTAGGCAAATATTAAGGCCAAACAATAATAAGAAAGAGCAAGAGGTATAGAAGAAATTCAAGAAACTAAATTGAAAAGTTAACTATTGAATACAAATTGCTAATTCTTTACAATGAAAAAAGTAAATATTTATTCAATAATCTAATTTTAGTCAGAATTTTATAAATTTCAAGAATAAATGTCCATGTTATTTTAACTGAAGTGTAGAGTATCATTTTTTTTTCTTTGTAATTTTTATCAACAATAAAAATACTCCGTAGTTCCGTATTAAATTGTACGGAGTAAGTAAGAAAGAAAAAAGAAAGAAAGAAGGAAGCTATCCATATGAGCACGAAGCCAGGAAGATACGAATTCCCGCAACAAAAATGCTATAGGTACCCCAAGTTTACCCCATTTCCTACCCCATATAAATACCCCATTTTCTTACCATCCTTTTTACCTCTTTCCAAAAATACTTTTCTCTCACCTCTCTTACATCTCCCCAACCCACTCCTCAACTTTACGCCAAAACACCTCTTCTCCTTCAAAACTTGCTACAGTGCTCAACCCATCCTCTCACCTGCTTCTTTCTTTCATCTTCTTGGATGGATATATGGGGAAGGAAGTATCCGAGTTTAGCGATGGGTTGTTTTGGATGGCTTGACATGGGAAGATGAAGGTCACAAGCTTGATGACGTGGGTGAAGGTGGAAATCTGCCATCTCCGGTCGCTGTTGAAGTAGCGACGACTTCAAGGGAAGAAGAAGATGATGAAGGTGTGGACGTTGAAGTCTTGGAGAAGAGTATGTTGTTTTTCGTCATTTGTTTGTATTTTGTTTGGCGGACAGACATTTTGGAACTGCAGTGTCTGTCTAGCCTAAAGTGAAAGCGGTTTCATAGTTGTTTGAAGTGAACATGGTTTTATATGAGTTAGAGTCGTACATAAAATGTGTGTGTGACCAGACAACTTTTATGTATGATATAAAAGTGAATAATTGATTAGTTTGTTTCATTGTAATGATTTTGAGGTGTTAATTAATTAAAATTTTAGTGTAATTTCTCTAATTCATTTTATTCCCATAACATGTTTGTAGAAATTACTCAATGAAGTTTTTGTTGAAATTCAAGACTTTTTTCCATTCTTTCCTTGATCTTCTTGGATGGATATCATGGGAAAGGAAGTATCCCACTTTAGTGATGAGGTTCTTTTGGATGGCTTGACATGGGGAGAGGTGACAAGGTTGATTAACTACTCTTTGTCTTACAGCCAGACAAATTTTGTCTGGGCCAGACATTAGTAGTCTGTGCCAATTAACTACTCTCTGTCTTACAGCCAGACAAATTTTGTCTGGGCCAGACATTAGTAGTCTGTGCCAATTAACTACTCTCTGTCTTACAGCCAGACAAATTTTGTCTGGGCCAGACATTAGTAGTCTGGGCCAATTAACTACTCTCTGTCTCACGGCCCGATAAAAGTTGGTTGTGCCAGACAATAGATGTCTCTTCCAGACAAATTGACTATGCCTCACATATGTTATTTGTACCAAATATGTGTTCTGACTATGTGTTGTGTATTAATCGTAGGTTTAACAATGTGTTGGGAAAATGTGTTGAGTATTGTACAATGTTACATGTTCAATGTTGAACAATTGGATTCAGTTTTTTGAACATGTGTAAGTTTTTGCAAACATTACATGTACAATCATCCACTTATGTATGTTGACCTTTTGTTTGTCTGGGTATCTGCGGTATGGTCTGTACTCACCCCGACGAGGAGTTTACAAATTGGGGTGAGGACAGCTTTATAGTACTTTGTAATTAATTTCTTAAAGTACAAATTGGGGTGAGGACAACTTTAACACCTCAAAAAAGTTTGCACTTCTTAAACTCCTCGTCGGGTAAATTTTTTGGGGTGAGGACAGGTTTATAGTACTTTGTAAGCTTTTTGTTTGTCTGAAGGGGTGAGGACAAACAAAAAGCTTACAAAGTACAGACCATACCGCAGCAAGTCTCAAGGGGATGATTTGTAGCATACCGCAGGAGGAGTTTAAGAACGACAAAAAGTTGTCCTCACCCCTTGACCCACCCCCACGAACCAACCAACCTCACACTTGGTTTCAAGCTCTGAGGCAGTGAAGAGGCAGTTCCCATCCAACTGCACCTCCCCAAACGAGGTTGATGACGAAGGTGAGATGGTCTTGAAAGACTTGAGATGGTCCTTTTTCCTCATTTTTTGGTATTTTTTTCATCCAACTCCACATGAAAAACGGTTGTGTGTCTGACAGACAAATTTAAATTGCAACGTTTGTCTAGCTGAGCATTGTTTCACAATTGATAGAGTCTTACACAAGATGTCTGTCCGGACAGACAAATTTATTTGTTTGAGTGTATGTATGCACATCTTATTTTACAAATGTATTTTATAGTATGTGTGATGACTTTTGTGATGTCTCTCTTCGGATGTTGAAAATTGGTTTGTAGTTGTCTGTGAAGTGAAAAGAGTTGTCTGACATTCCATTTGAATTGTCTGTAATGTGATATAAAATGTATGGCCTTTCTTCTGAGTCGTCTGTCTACAGGTCGGGAGAATGTGGAGTGATTGTGGCTTCCTTTGCAGAGCACCTGTTAATGGGAAAGCCATTGATTCTAGGTTGTGAGTATGCAAACACGTGGAACAAGAGATGTCAATACGTCGTTCGTTTGTGGCGATTGGAGAAGGTGGAGGAAGCATAAGAATTGTTATTAATGTGGGAATGTGTTTTTGTGGGTTGTTTTGATGGGTTTAGTAAAACTGTATTTTATAGTACATTTTGATTAGTTTAGTAATTGTTAATGTGGTTATATAAAAGTGTTTGGAGATATGATTGTATTTGTTAATGTACAGAGATAACCGTTGAATAGACAAACAACAAAGATAACCAGACAGATATTACTTTCACGTAGAAAGACAATAACTTTACACATACAGACCATACCGCAGATACCCAGACAAACAAAAGGTCAACATACATAAGTGGATGATTGTACATGTAATGTTTGCAAAAACTTACACATGTTCCAAAAACTGAATCCAATTGTTCAACATTGAACATGTAACATTGTACAATACTCAACACATTTTCCCAACTGTAATATGAAAAAAAAAACATGTTCAAAAATTCACAAGTTCAAAACGGACACATTTTCCCAACACTCTATACTTCAGCATTCTTCAAGACTAGTTCAAAACGGACACATTTTCCCAACACTCTATACTTCAGCATTCTTCAAGACTACTTGCATTTGTTTCTCCATTGCAAAAGAAGTCACACATGGTATCATTTTTGTAAATGAATTAGCGTCCGCTTGGAACTCTTTTTCAGCCTTACATTTTAAGTCATTCGTCATCTTGAAGTGAATACCTACGATTAATACACAACACATAGTCAGAACACATATTTGGTACAAATAACATATGTTAGGCATAGTCAATTTGTTTGGAAGAGACATCTATTGTCTGGCACAACCAACTTTTGTCGAGCCGTGAGACAGAGAGTAGTTAATTGGCCCAGACTACTAATGTCTGGCCCAGACAAAATTTGTCTGGCTGTAAGACAGAGAGTAGTTAATTGGCACAGACTACTAATGTCTGGCCCAGACAACATTTGTCTGGCTGTAAGACAGAGAGTAGTTAATTGGCACAGACTACTAATGTCTGGCCCAGACAAAATTTGTCTGGCTGTAAGACAAAGAGTAGTTAATCAACCTTGTCACCTTCATCTCCCCATGTCAAGCCATCCAAAAGAACCTCATCACTAAAGTGGGATACTTCCTTTCCCATGATATCCATCCAAGAAGATCAAGGAAAGAATGGAAAAAAGTCTTGAATTTCAACAAAAACTTCATTGAGTAATTTCTACAAACATGTTATGGGAATAAAATGAATTAGAGAAATTACACTAAAATTTTAATTAATTAACACCTCAAAATCATTACAATGAAACAAACTAATCAATTATTCACTTTTATATCATACATAAAAGTTGTCTGGTCACACACACATTTTATGTACGACTCTAACTCATATAAAACCATGTTCACTTCAAACAACTATGAAACCGCTTTCACTTTAGGCTAGACAGACACTGCAGTTCCAAAATGTCTGTCCGCCAAACAAAATACAAACAAATGACGAAAAACAACATACTCTTCTCCAAGACTTCAACGTCCACACCTTCATCATCTTCTTCTTCCCTTGAAGTCGTCGCTACTTCAACAGCGACCGGAGATGGCAGATTTCCACCTTCACCCACGTCATCAAGCTTGTGACCTTCATCTTCCCATGTCAAGCCATCCAAAACAACCCATCGCTAAACTCGGATACTTCCTTCCCCATATATCCATCCAAGAAGATGAAAGAAAGAAGCAGGTGAGAGGATGGGTTGAGCACTGTAGCAAGTTTTGAAGGAGGAGAGGTGTTTTGGCGTAAAGTTGAGGAGTGGGTTGGGGAGATGTGAGAGAAGTGAGAGAAAAGTATTTTTGGAAAGATGTAAAAAGGATGGTAAGAAAATGAGGTATTTATATGGGGTAGAAAATGGGGTAAAGTTGAGGAGTGGGTTGGGAAGATGTGAGAGAGGTGAGAGAAAAGTATTTTTGGAAAGAGGTAAAAAGGATGGTAAGAAAATGGGGTATTTATATGGAGTATTTTTGGGGTACCCGTATAGCATTTTTGTTCCCGCAAAACGACGCAGAGAGAGCCAGAGAAGGAGATTCGATCAAAGTATTTTTGCCCAGTTCAAATGGGCTTCAGATAAGAGCTGCTGCAACCTTGCTCAGGAGATATAGGCTTCTTATCATTCAATGGCGGAAGGTTCTAGTCTTCAGCATCAAATGCAGCAAAAAATCACCACCAAAACGGCCTGTTCCGCCGCCGCTGTGGAGGAGGTGACAAACAAGGAGCCGAACCTCTACCCGTTCGAGTGTGGCCCTCTTTCTCCCCCATCTCCCACGCTTTCTGCCGCTTTTGATGATCTCAACTTTTCCCCAAATTCTCCTTCTGCGTCTGATAAGTCCGATTCAGCTCCTTTCGACTCCCTATCTAATTCCTTCTTTGACGATGACGAATACCAAATGAATTTCGTCACCGATTTGTTTGATCCTGTCGATTTTCTGGCGTATAATGATATCGATAGGGTTTTCGGAGCTGGATCTGATGGTGTCAATAGCACGGACGATATGGAGTTGGAGTTGGGGACAGTGTCTGATTTTGGTCAGCCAGTTACTGCTTTGGAGTCGCATAGTTCTCCATCCGTTGCTGGCCTTCGAATAGTTGGGATGGATTCAGAGTCGGATACGGAAGATACAGAAATGATTTCTGGGGTTAGTTATCAAAATGGTGTTAGGGTGAATTCTGTGAGATGTAATAACGACCTAGATTCGAATGAAGAATTTGGTTGGGAAGAAATAAATGAAAGGCTTGTGGAGGTGGATAACATAATCTCATTGATTGATCGAATTGAAGAGATTTCAGTCTCCTCTGAGATATCTTCTTCAGATGGAGATATCTCATTTTCTGATGATGGAGGAGAAGAGGAGGGCGATAGGAATGTTGAATGGCAGGTACTTTTGGCAAGGGGTGTTCTTGAAGAACACATTGAATTTGAAAGCGATAGTATTGGTGATGAGATGTCATCCTTAGGCATGAATGGTATTTATGCCTATGGTACAGACTATGACCATGATTCCCTTCTTGGACAAATTTTGGAAATTGGAAGTGTTATGAAGGGTAGTCCTGCTTCCAAATCTGTAATAGAAAGTCTTCCCTGTGTTGTCATCACAGATAAAGATTTGAGTATAAACAGTGTATCTTGTGCAGTTTGTAAAGATGAGATTTTGATCGGAGAAAAGGTGAATAAGCTGCCTTGTTCCCATTATTACCATGGGGGTTGCATCGTTCCATGGTTAAGCATTCGTAACACATGCCCTGTTTGTCGCTATGAGCTACCCACGGATGATGATGATTATTGGAAGAATAAAAACGAAGGAGCTTTTGAGGCTGGTTTTGTCAATGATTTGGAGGTATGAGCATAATTCTGAACTTTTACAGTGAGATTTGTAATAATCCATGAAATTTCTGGACTAAGGGAACTACGTTTTTGCTTATGCAATGTATTTCTTTGTTATGTAGGAGTATAATATTGTAGTGATAAAAATTTTAATGCAAGCGTTGCAACTCTTTTGTTATAATGTAATGTGGTTTTGCAACCAACCGGGTATATATTCAATTATTCATTACCCACAGTCACTAGCTAGGTAAGGAAAAGATGCCCAGTTCTTTTTTTGCTGACACGGGTCTGTTCCCGACCCCTTCATCTGAAAGTAGGAACCTTATCTGGAACTGATAATATTGGTTATGTTTTAGAACTGAGGACTTTGGCTCAAGTTAATTTCTCATTGAATTATCTAGTCTGATAATTAAAGAATGGAATAGGAACCGGAACCGTGGAGCCTATGTTGAATGAATTGGACAAAAAAAATATCTGGTCACTAGGTCAGTGCTTCCAATCCTAGAACCACCAGATTGTTCAGCTTCATCGTAAAAAAATCAGACGGTGCCAATCCAGAATGGAGACTGGCCAGTGGCCATCATTACTACATCCAGAGGCTCTGAAGATAAAGAATTACCGGCTCTCACCAAAGTAGGTCCTTTTGCCCTATGTAGGAAGGGACTCTGGTGAAGTCTAATTAAGAACCAGAAAATTATTGATAATATTAATGAATACAAAAGTTTTTGTATATTACAGTAGTTCTGAAGAATCTTGGTGAGCAAGAATTAGAGTGCTGCTAGATCATAATCTATTGTGTACTATTTCCAACTAATACAGTATGAAGTACGAATATTAGTAATGAGAAACTAATGATAATACTGAATAATAAATGATCTTAAATCGCCACAAATTATTAGCCCCATTGTGGATGTCACGCTTGTCCTTAAGCTTGGAAGGGAGTCACTTGTTACACTAAACATTTCCTCAGTCAAAAGGCATTACTCCATACTATCGCACTCCGTATTAGATAACAAATATGGAGTCATTTATATTTGCTCACCGTGCAAAATGTTGGTGTGTGCACATTCATGATATATAATTTCTCTCTTAGCTTCACTAATATTTCCCATCAGTATTAATATATGCTCATATAATATTCGGTATAATGTATAGATATTTAGGTAGTTCCAGTTCAGTATTTAAAAGTACTACTCAAAGTTCTTATGACCAGGTATTTAAAAAATAGTATACTCGTTTTGACTAACAGACATGGTATGTTACTATGTTAATCCAAAAAAGCTGTTTGTACTCACTCTTATACGCACTTTTGTACCCACCATGTTTGTGCAAGGTTTTTTTTTGCCTGTGAATCACGTTTACAGACAAAATATGTCTGTGCAAATTATTTTGTCTGTGAATCCGATTCACATATATGGTGGGTATAAGAGTGTACAACAAGAATGATTCATGTTAATCAGCAGCACTCATTGCTTCTCAAACAAATCAAACAATACATTTGTATTTGTCCCAAAAGTTTATCCAAGGTGTATTATTCAAGGTTCAAGTTGCTCGTACATTCATCTCAGCATATTTTAAAATCTGGTAAACAACTCACCAAAATTAGTGGAGTAAAAAGATGGGGAACTAGACCAAAACCTCACGAAAACATACCTTCTTGAGACACAACATTAAATTAAAATGCGAGCAGGCTGAGAAGATCCAACAAAAAATGCGAGCAGGCTGAGAAGATCCAACAAATAGGCCGGTGACATTAAAATAAAAATTATAAAATGCAGGCCGGCCGAACAAATCCAACAAATAGGCTGTTTTAGGCAGATCACGGACAAATAACAAAATTAACCTTTGGGTAGGGCCCAACGGATATCATCTCAGCGACTCAGCATAATACCACACTTTAACTTGATGTTTCTATTCGTAATAGAGCAAGTTTATAAAACTTAAGGGAATTTTTTTTCACAGTCAACCTTTTACTAAATACACACCAACATTTTCGTAATCCCATTTTTGCCCAAACAGTCAACAACAAATAGGCAACAACACATCCAAATACCTTCCACGTGCAGCCAGATATGCAACAACACTCATCGGCTATTCGGCTCATCCTGCAAGCACCAAACAGTGCTTCAATATACGGCAAAATATATTATACACCCGGCTGTACCGTGTCACTTGGTACAGCCAGGTATTTTTGTAATTATATGCAAATCGGAGGTCATTAGTTAAGGATCATGGCTTTTGCTTCCTTTGTTTCTCCTCCTCCGTTCTTGCCTTTCCGATTTTTTTTATTGCTTTTCCTTATATTTTAACTTTATAGTTTTCTCCTTTCTTCCTCTTCCGTTACTTTACTGCTCTTCCGTTTTTTTAGTTTTGTTTTTCCGTTCTTTTAGTTTTGCTTCTCGTTTTTCCTTTCTTTTTTATAGTTATGGTTTTCCTTTTTCTTCTTTTAGTTTGGAACTTTAATTCTCCTATGTTTCAATTTTCTTTTTCTGCTTCGGTTTTTTTTGTCTCTAATTTTGAACTTTAAATTTTCTTTTCCTTTTCTATACTTCATTTTTTCTTTTATCTTTTTATACATACTTTTTGTCTTCTGGATCACTAATTTTGAACTCCTACTTTTTTGTTTTTATGTAATTTTGCTACAATAACTTTTTGTCTTTTTCATGCAATTCTTTCAAAAATTCATATCAAATGCGATGCAATAAAAACATATACACCTATTCTTTATGTTATACTGATATGAGCATACATAAATTGATATTTGAGCATACTAGAGATTTTAAATGAGATTTTTAATTTTTTTCGATGCTCATTTCGTAAGTTATCTATGCTCATTTGAAATTGGCGTAATGCTCACTTTAAAATGAGTATTACACCAGACATTTTAAAATGTCATATCCATGCATATAGGTGTAATGCTCATTTTAAATATTTCGATGCTCATTTCATAAGTTGTGTATTCTCATTTGATGAATTTGTACTCATACTATGCTCATTTTTAAAATGTTATATTCATGCAAATTTTAAAAGTTGCATATGACATTGGATTCACATTGTTAAGTTCTTAATACTCAAATAAATAAGTTTGATGCTCATTAGAAGTGTTTTAATGCTCATAATAGGTCCAATGCACATTAAAAGTTCATAAATGCTCATTTAACAGAAATTGTAATTTCATCTCAATAGAGAAGATTTGATGCTCAATGAAAATGTGGTTATGTCAAACTAACAAATCTTACGATTTTCATATCAATGAACATTTGTAAGTTACGTATGCTCATTTAGTATTGATCTTATGCTCATTTTCTAAATGTTATCAATGTATTTTTATAAAGTACTATTAAGTTTTAATAAAAGAAATAATAATAAAAAGAAAGTGAAGTTATGAATTAGAAGTTATGAAACAGAGATCACGATTCTGAATATTAGACTTCTAATACTCAACATTAGACTTCTAATACTCAGCATTAAATACTTTAATGTGCTTTTGAATTTTTCTATACTCATTTTGTAAATTTGTGTGCTCATCTAGTCTTGATTTGATGCTCATTTTAAAATGTCATATCAATGCATATTTCAAAATTACCATATTACATTAGATTCGAATGAGAGTCTATTATAGACACGAGAGTGAAGATCGTGATACTCAATTGCATGCTTCTAATACTCAATACAGGAGGTTTGATGATACATGAAAATAATTTAATGCTCAAATAATAAAGATTATTATTTTCATATCAATGCCCATTTTGTAAGCTGCATATGCTCATTTGGTAATGATGTTATGCTCATTTTAAAGTGTCACATCAATGCTCGTTTCAAAAGTATTATATTACATTAGATTAAAATCCTAAGAGTTGATTATAGATATAAGTTAGATTTTTTATAACAAAAAATAAGAAAAACAAAGTGAATTGGAAAATATAAAGCAACGATCACGATGTTCAATATTAACCTCATAATACTCAACATAATAAGTCTGTTGCTCATATCAAATTACCAATACCAGATGAGCATACATAACTTACAAAATAAGCATCCAAAAATTCAACAACTCATTTGAATTCTCTAATGTTTTCAAATTTTCATTTGTGTATGGTCCTTTCTTTTAATCGTAATATATATTATTCATTTCTATAATATGTACATGTAGTAGATATAAGTTAGATTTTTTTATAATAAAAAAATAAGAAAAACAAAGTTAATTAGAAAATATAAAGCAACGATCACGATGCTCAATATTAACCTCATAATACTCAACATAATAAGTCTGATGCTCATACCAAATTATCAATACCAGATGAGCATACGTAACTTACAAAATGAGCATCGAAAAATTCAACAGCTCATTTGAATTCTCTAATGTGTTCAAATATTCATTTGTGTATGTTCCTTTCTTTTAATCGTTATATTATTCCTTTCTATATTTACTCATGCAAATTTATTTTATATTATACTCATTTTAGTATATAACAAAACTCATAATAGTAATTAGATCACAATAATTGAGAAATTAATAAATATTCATCTTAAGATTTAAAAAAGAAAAATAAAAATTAATAACTAAAATATTTTATAATGCACAAATTAAAAAATTAAGTTAGAAGGTTATTGGAAAAACTAAAAGTTGTTAAAGCAAAAAAAGAAGAAAAAAAGAAGCAGGAAAGCAATGAAAAGTAATTGCAAGAGAAAGAAAGAAGCAACAAAGCAAAAGTTGTTAATGAAAAAAATGAAAAAGAGTGAACGGATGAATAAGAGAAAGAGTGAAAAAGACAATTGACAAACAAATGAAAAAAGAAGCAGGACGGATCGTCAACGCAGCACAAAAGCGGAAAAGAAGAAATTTAATCGGAAGACCAATGAATTAAAAGGGCCGAAGTTGACGGGAATTTCAAATTTACCTGGCTGTACGGTGTTCACCGTACAGCCGGTTGTAGGATATACGGACTCTCAATATACAGTGCTTCAACAACACTCATATTGCAACCTCCCGCAAACCAAACTATGAGAAAATCTAATAGTTACGTAGAAATTTAATACGGAGTATAAGTAATCCAATTACTGAAAAAATCAGAGTTTTTTTCGAATTAATGTTAATTAATTAATTAATTACCAAAATAACCCTGGGTTAAAAGTATTTACCGATCTACTGCTGGATTTAACCATGATCAGGGAAAGTTGCCCAACGGTTGGGCGACTTATAAGTCGCCATCCGGTTTGGCGACTTACCCCTTGCATCTGAACGAAGCCTAGCAGCTACTGCCAGCCACACACGATCGTGCCTCCCAGGGTAGGCACGATCGTGCTTACTTCCGAAACGTGAATTTCAGCACCTTTTTAGTCCCAGTTCAGCCCAAGTGCATCTGTTTGCTATAAATAAGGTTTCCCTTCTCCTGTTTAAGTGTTATGAACATTACAGAGTCTTGGCTATATTATAATAACAGTAATACTAGGATTAATGCCTGACTCCGGATTTCGTAGTTTCAGTCCGATTTCACCTGTTTTCTATAAATAAGGCATCTCTTCTCCTACTTAGGGGTTACGAACCACATACAACACATTACAAAACATACAAAACACATGCTCACAAATACATACATAACACCTCCTCTCAACAACATACAAAACACCACATACATACCCTTCACAAATCAGATACAAAACAATAGATTCATAACCGGTAAAACACAGTACACTCATCCAATATTCATAACACAGTAGTCATCCAATATTCATAACCGAACACATCAACACATCATAAAAGAGTTTACAGGCGGAAATACGTAAAATAAAGTCAATTGTTCCTACAACATTTGGTGTACAACAAAAACTCCAATACAAAAGACAAATTACAAGTTCTCATGGTCTTCTTGATCATCTTGGTCATGGAGATGTTGCTCTTGCTGCCTATGCTTACGCCGCTGTCGTGGCTGAAGAACCACTCTCTCATGCTGAGTCTGGGATGATGGAGCTCCCGCTGCACTAGATGTCGATGGAATATCCTGAGATGGGGGAATATGAATAAGATGGCCGTAGTTGACTCGCCCCAACACGTCTGAACACAAGGAGGCAATGCCTGTCAGAGCCTGTCCGTACATGTCCACGTCATGCGTATCACTGACTGTGGCAGTAGCTCGCTGCTGTATACGCTGCAAAGCTCGTGTCTGAAATATAAAACACAATTATAATTAGTTAGGAAAAAACTGAAGTGTTAAATAAAGAAAATGTCTTACGTTAGTAATTAGTAATATACTCATCGTCAAATGCAATGCCAAGGAGCTAGGCTGATAATGATGAGCAGGAATTCTGAACGAAGGAGACACAAACAAGCGAGTGATGTTGTAATACCATCCCATGTAGTCTCCTGAAACAGATGGGACAAATGTCGGTGTCCCAGTGACAAGTAGCTCAGCTCGCCTATCCCACATAGTGACGTATCGAACACGTCTCAGTGCTCAATCCTCTGTATGCTTCCCACGCCTATCCCTCGTATGCTTTCCACATAGTAACGTATCGAACGGGTCGACAATGCTTGAAACCATGTATTGAAGGCTTGAATGCCCAAAATACTCTCTGAAACTGCATATAACCTGTGGGAGTAATAGGGGGTGGGTACAAGTTTACAACAGTTCCAGGATTGGAATGTTGGAGCGCGGTTATGAAATGGGGCAATTCAGAATATGACTTCTCCGAACCGTCAAATATTTCTGCAATGCCTTTTGTGTTCCCCATCCATGTTCTCCTGTACGATACCGTATACCCATATTTTTCCTTCAGCATCTCAATGATAGTATGCACTTTAAGGGAAGGATCAGTGCGAAGACTGTCAATCACATCTTTAGCAATGAAATCAGAAGTCATCGCCACGTGATCGGTACTGTCGGTGTTGCCAACACATGTGGCAGAATGAGGTCCAGGATAACACACAACTGTGAAGCTGTCGAGGTTGCCTTTGTTCTTTGTGACGCGTATTCTCTAGGGGCAATCACATTCTTTCTTCCTCTTGCACTCTGCCACCCATTTGTGTTTATCGGACTCCATCACCCGATAAAATTGTTTTCGTTTGATAGAATACAAGCTCACCATATTGATGACTTGTTCTTTGTTGTCAAACTGTTGACCAACTTCAAACTCACCTTCGGGTGTAAAACTTTTCATACCCGCTCCACTCATCCAGGCATCAATAAAGTCTTCAGGAGATCATATATTCTAGTAAAGTGGCTATACGGGGCAGTTGCTCTGACAGTATCGCCATCATCTTCATCAGATTCTGTCATGTCATCACCATTGATGTTCTCGTTAGCATCATCATCACTGCCCTGCCCATCCACAAATGATGCACCATTGTGCAAATATATACCATCTTCCTCTATAACCATGTCCAGTACAGTAGCATTAGAGGAGTTCCCTGCATTGAAACCTGCATTGACACCATGCCTAGATACAACATCATTTGATGTTGTCGGAGCTGTAGAAGAGTCACCAATGGATTTCTCAATGTATATCTCCAGCGAGGACATACTCTCCATGTCAATTATCATCCACATATTTGTCACAGCTAGCTCATCAAGAAGTGGAATAAGCATGTAATTTTCCCCGTTCATGGAAAATTTCATTTTCAAGCGCAAAGACCGGTTAGGAGGAATCTGTGTAACTACAAAGATTTTTTGCAGCATTTCAAGCAGACATGCGCCACGAGAAACAATGACAAAGTTGCTTCTACCACCTTCATGGCGTATTTGACCACCTTCCTCATATACGTTCCCTCCCCAATGACACACAATTGGGAAGTTTGAGAAATCCATATTCTAATAACAATACATGTCCAATTTTGATGAGTAGACATTAATATACACACTTTATACACCCAAATTAATCATTTCATAGACATTACAACATATTAGGCAAATCCTACATGATATATATACACTTAAAAATGGAAAAATATAACACATAAAAAAATACATTCAAATTTTGGAGTTTTTAGCATTAATGGGAAAAAACACCTCCAAATCATACATATTCATAGTTTTAAAACAGTTTTAAAAAAAGTATATAACAATGAGTAGACATTAATATACACACTTTATACACCCAAATTAATCATTTCATAGACATTACAACATATTAGGCAAATCCTACACGATATATATACACTTAAAAATGGAAAAATATAACACATAAAAAAATACATTCAAATTTTGGAGTTTTTAGCATTAATGGGAAAAAACACCTCCAAATCATACATATTCAAAGTTTTAAATCAGTTTTAAAAAAATGTATATGACAATGAATTCAACACCTCCCAAATCTACATTACATAACAAAGTTTTAAAAAAAATGTACATAACAATGAATTCAACATCAACATTCAACAATTCATACAAATTCACATTACACAACAAATCAATTCACAAATGAATGCCTAATTTACAAAATCCAATTTTCTATATTCTAAACCTTAAAAGGAAAAATGAGATAAAATGGAGATATTTGTTTACCTAGAGTGTTGAAGAAGATGGAAGTGAAGTAGTATTGACAAGATAGGGAGGAATCGCCGGAGTTTCGCCGCTCGTCGCTCGTTCTCGCTCGTCGTCGGTCGTTCGCTGCAGAGTATTTGGGATGGGGTTGTGTTCTGTCTGTATGTGGCTTAGGTTGGGCCGATGTTTTTACTTAAGGGTAAGTCGCTAAACCGTTTGGCGACTTATAAGTCGCCATCCGGTTGGGCGACTTATAAGTCACCAAACAGTTTGGCGACTTGCCCCGACCAGGGTTAAGCCCAACAGTATATCCGTAAATACTTTAACCCAACCCTATTTTCGTAAAAATTTAATTAATTAGTATTAATACGGAAAAAAACTCAAAAAATCATATCGCCTACGCTTTCGCACAAGAGAGAATGTATTTCAATAAATTAACTTCAGTTTGGACTTGTATCCTTGGTCGATACCTTGTGCCAGTTTTGGAGACCCTAAACGAAATCCCCATTGCACAATGATTTATTAATTTTGGTTCTGATTATAATCAAAGCTATATTAAATTCAGAGATGTGGAGTATGATCTTGAAAGTGTGACAATTTGAAAGTTTGAAATTCTGACATTATGAAGAAACACATGGTGGTTTGATTTCAAGAAGACATTCTTGGGTCATCAGCCTGGATGACGAGCTCAAAGCACAATATTGGTCTTACCGCCACAGTCTCAAAATGAATGAATCATTGTTTAGCCTTTACTTAACGATAGTTACTTATAAAAGGGTAGTTTAGATAATTCATTTAATTAAATAGCTAATAAAAAGAGAGCTGTAAATAGAATTCCCCAAAACTTAATTGTAGTACCAAAGAAGGAGGCCCAAAGAAAGGAGGCCCAAAGAAAGGAGGCCCAAAGAAGGACGGCCCTAAATTTGACCAAGGCTGAAGCCCACCGGCAGCCGTCGTTAGTAAACAGGCCTACCGCAGTTCAAAGAAAACGACAAGAGCTGTTATATATAGTTACGTTGGAAAAGGGAGTGTCCACTTCAACCGGTGTGGGAAATCAGCAATTCACTTTGAACACAATTTGAAGTACAATTGCAGCCGTGCAGACTTGGAACACAATTCGCTCCAACTAACGTTTAAACTTGCTTATAAATCCTATAAATTGCAATCTATTCTTTTCATCATCAACATTATTATTATTATTATTATTATTATTATTATTATTATTATTATTATTATTATTATTATTATTATTATTATTATTATTATTATTATTACTATTAAACACATTTACTTATTAATAACTAAAATAAAAATTGTTTTAAAGAATGTGAACTTTTAAGTGTAAACAACTTTAGTCAATGTAACTTATATTCAATTTTTACATTTAAGTGACATAACATGTTACTATAATAATGTCTAGTCATAGTTTTCATAAATAAGTTTTATTTGAGTAATATTTTTGGAAAAACCTCTTATTAATATTACTATTATTTTTATTGTTGTGGTTATTATTAATACTACCATTATTTTTATCACTATAAAAAATCTATTATTTTATCATTCAACTAATTTTTCAGCAGTGGTAGATATATGAATTTCTATATCACGATATCTATTATTTGTGAATATTAAAACTTTGTGTATTTTTTTGTAAGGAAATTCAAAATATGACAATTTTTGTATGATATTATTTCATATCACATTTATATACATTCTAATAGCTCTAGAAAAACTAAAATAAAGAGTAAATATTTCAAACGCCTTTTCACGCCTAAACCCCGTCTAAACTCGCCTAGACTCCAACGGTTTAAGGTTTGGTCGTGTCGCCTCAGCACGCTTTACGTCTTTTAAAACATTGCTTAAATGAGATAATATGGTTGTTATTGATTGGAGTGATAGGACGCTTTAAACTAATATTATATCTTTAGTGCATAAATATTACGGAGAAAAAAAAACAGCGACAGCTCAAAAGCAAGGGCATCATTAGAATTTCACTTTTGGCTTAGAAAAATGCAAAATTTGGGGAATAAATAATTAGAGGAGCAAATGAATCAATCTGCTTGTGAGTTACTTGTGAGCCGCTCAGTCAAAACTCAACTCATGTTCGGCCAAACTCGAACACGAGCCAAACTCGAGCTAGCTCGTTAAGCAAACGAGCCAAGCTCGAGCTCAATTCCTTTTTGCTCATGAGCACGCAAAATCAGCTTATTCATCTTATTTCATCTATTTTTATTATTTTTCTAAGTTTTTTCAAATTACATGTAAATTGGTTACACATACAACTACATCATTCATTTTGATCACACCGACAACTAAAGTTGATCACACAGACAACTATTGTCTGTGAGGTAAATATTGTCTGTGCATAGACAAATAATTGTCTGTGCTACAAGAAAATGTTGTTTGTGTACACAAGCACTGCACATATATTGATTGATTTGCAAGCTGGTGTCAGTGTCAGGCGGTTGTCGGTGTACTTTTTACACAAAAGGAAGTGTCTCTAGACACAGACAAAAGTTGTCTGTGGACACAGACAACTCTTGTCTATTCTCACAAGCAACTCCGTACCAATTATCTGTGACCGACATTTTGGGTACAAGTTGTGTAAAACTTGTGTACCCCTAACATTTCTGTTAACTAAAACGTGAAATGCTGCCGTTTGTAGCGGATTGGAGGCTGAACCGCTAAAATCCAAACGAACCATATGTCTTTGTTGCAATTCTATTTAAATATAATTATAATAAAGTCTTAATGACATTTTAAATAAATAAAAAATTGCGGGCCAATATTGGAGTACGGGAACTGAACCGGCCCAGAACTGGACTTTGTGCAGCCATAGTTGTGTCCAAAACTTGCCCTGTAGGCTGTGGTGTGTGTTTGCACTTATTATTATTATCGGGGTTGTGTTCGGTGTACACAAAATGTGTACACTTTTTGTACACTGCTTACGTACACAGTCAATTGGGAGACAAATGCTGTCTCTTTCTTAACGAGTTGCATGTGTACACAGGCAATTAGGGATGTACACAAAACCCTACAAATTTTGTGTGCCAATAGAATTTTCCTTCATATTGTGGTTTTGTTAATCATTTGGCTGTTAGCGACTTCTGATATCCTTTAATGAGGAACTTCATGTAATTAAGTCGCTTGAAGAATTAGCACGGATGGGGAAAAAAGTTGGTTAGAAATTGATCGATAAAAATGATTGTATTTAATATAAAATTCGTTGTTCACAAATAATTTCCTGTTGGGCTGTTACTCCCATTATTTTTTCAAAAAGTTATTTAGTATATCTATTTAATAAAAACTGAAGTTAGAAAGTAGCATATAAAAATTTTATACTCCCTCCGTCTCAAATTGAGTTGCAAATTTGACTTTGCAACTAATTATGATATAAAAATGTTATACTCCCTCCGTATCATTTTATTCACTTAATTATGATACCAATTCTAGCTTAATTAAATTTTAATTTGGACTTTGCAACATTATAGACATTTTAATGTAGTTTTTAAATATATATATATATATGTAAATTTTAAGTACTAAAAAGTGAACTATTTATCAATAGGAAGAATTTAACTTTAACATTTTTGACAAAAAAATGTTGATTTTACAAAACAAATTGAGAGAGAGATAGTACAAATATAAATAATGTTGTCATAAAGCAAAAAAATAAGTGAAGTTAATAGTATTTAATTGTTTTAATATCTTTAATTATATTATTCTCTTTTTGGATGCAATTATACTATTCTCTTATTAAATGGTCCTCAATTTTTTTAAAGGAATGGTCCTCAATTTATAAACAAAATGTGCTTAATTAGTTAATGCAATGTTATTACAAACGAGGGAGTACACTACGTCTACTTGAATTAGTGAATGCTAGGCAATGATTGATGCATGCATTATACAAAAATATACCAATAATCAAATGGAATAAAGCTGTCTAAAAGTAGAGTCAAAAGGTTAGCTAATTAATAAGTCTAGACAAGATTTTTTAATTTTAAATTTAGCTCATAAAATGCATGTACAGTATTAGAAAGTAAGAAAGAATGACAAAAGAGGATGTCTCCGTCAGTCCGTCCTTTTAAAAAACTTGTCATTTCTCTTTGGGCGTGGAAGTGTGGAACCGAAAACTCTACGCTAGAGGCTACCGGCATTGCCCAAGTGATCAAGATTTTTTCTTTCCGCAATTTCCTAACAAAAATTCTATTCGTACACAAAATTTATACATATTTTGTACACATTATGCGTAATTGTCTGTGCACAGAAACAATGTGTACACCCCTAGTTGTCAATATAAACAAACAATTCGTGCAGCCAGACAGACAATTACATGTAATGTTAGCGAAAGGTGTACCAATTTTGTGTAAATGGTTGATTTCATAAATATATACGTAGTACTATATAAACCATACTTTATCATGCAGATCATTTCATGTTTATCTACACAAACAAGGTATCAATCATATACTTCGAAAAATTACAGACCACCGCAAGGTACATGCTGAGCTAGGTTAAGAAGCTGTTCCGTTCACCTGATCTGAATGTTTCTGATCTGAATTTTTTAAGTTCTCATCTGATCTGATCTGAATTTTTCTGATCTGATCTGATCTGAATTTTTCTGATCTGATCTGATTTGATCTGAATCTTTCTGATCTGATCTGAATCTTTCTGATCTGATCTGAACGTTGCTGAACTGATCTGAATGTTGCTGATCTGATCTGATCTGAATGTTTCTGATCTCGTCTGAATGTTTCTGATCTTATCTGAATTCTTCTGATCTGAATCTTTCTGATCTGAATCTTTCTGATCTGATTTGAATATTTCTATAATTGTAATTATAATTATAATTATTAGATTTATAATTGTAATTAAATATATATAACTTAAATAAAATTACAATTATAATCATAATTATAAAAAAATAATAATTAAAATTAAATTTAAAATTATAATAATTATACCAATTACACTAATTATAAATACAGATACAATTATAAATGTAATTATATTTTTAATTATGATTAATTTTATAATTATTTTTTTTGTAATTATAATTATAATATTTATCTCTATAATCATAATTATATCTATAATTACTAATTTAAATATATAATTACTCCGAAGTAATAATAATTATAAAAATAACAACA